TTTTTTTTTTTTTTTTTTTTTTTTCAGTTTATTCTTAAGTGTCATTGAAAACCTAATGTGAAATAAAAGCTAACGTAAAATATCGCAGTTCTTAACTTTGAAAACCATTTACCATCAGGGCATTCTGATGACGTTTTTACTGTTCGAATGGCCCAGCGGCAAAGTCGTGTAACACTGGTTATTAGGCCTGGCGAACGAGCTGCCTGCATGAGAGTTTCGTGATTTTTCTTATCACTAAATGGCTTTGTATAAGATGGATGTGACACAGTTCCTGATAACGTACTCCACAAAGGGGTAGTATAATAAAGGGGTAGTATATTAAAAAAACAAGAAGGAAAACTTTAGCATAGAATTTAATCAACTTATAGAAATAATAGGTTTTTTTTTTACATTTACATAGTTAATTAACAAAGGTCATTAATAAATTGTTTTTATAAAGCTTTGTTAGTAACTTTTCATAAAAAATATAGTCTAAAAATATTGTAAAAAATGAAGATAAGTAAATGCATGAGCTTATCTGTAAAACAATTGCTTAATTAATTAGCAAATTATTTTCTTTCCCATTTGTTAATATGATACTCTTATAGTGAAAGTTATTTCTTGTTTTTTTTTTTTTTTTTTTTCAGTTTATTCTTAAGTGTCATTGAAAACCTAATGTGAAATAAAAGCTAACGTAAAATATCGCAGTTCTTAACTTTGAAAACCATTTACCATCAGGGCATTCTGATGACGTTTTTACTGTTCGAATGGCCCAGCGGCAAAGTCGTGTAACACTGGTTATTAGGCCTGGCGAACGAGCTGCCTGCATGAGAGTTTCGTGATTTTCTATCACTAAATGGCTTTGTATAAGATGGATGTGACACAGTTCCTGATAACGTACTCCACAAGGTGTAGTATAATAAAGGGGTAGTATAAAAACAAGAAGGAAACTTAGCATAGAATTTAATGCAACTTATAGAAATTAATAGGTTTTTTACATTTACATAGTTAATTACAAAGGTCATTAATAATTGTTTTTATAAAGCTTTGTTAGTAACTTTCATAAAAATATAGTCTAAAAATATTGTAAAAAATGAAGATAAGTAAATGCATGACTTATCTGTAAACAATTGCTTAATTAATTAGCAAATTATTTTCTTTCCTTTGTTAATATGATACTCTTATAGTGAAGTTATTTCTTGTTTTTTTTTTTTTTTTTTTTGTTTTTTTTTTTTTTTTTTTTTTCATTTTCTTAAGTGTCATTGAAAACCTAATGTGAAATAAAAGCTAACGTAAATATCGCAGTTCTTAACTTTGAAAACCCATTTACCATCAGGGCATTCTGATGACGTTTTTACTGTTCGAATGGCCAGCGGCAAAGTCGTGTAACACTGGTTATTAGGCCTGGCGAACGAGCTGCCTGCTGAGAGTTTCGTGATTTTCTTATCACTAAATGGCTTTGTATAAGATGGATGTGACACAGTCCTGATAACGTACTCCACAAGGGGTAGTATAATAAAGGGGTTAGTATTAAAAAACAAGAAGGAAACTTTAGATGAATTTAATGCAACTTTATAGAAATTAATAGGTTTTTACATTGTACATAGTTAATTCACAAGGTCATTAATAAATTGTTTTTATAAAGCTTTGTTAGTAACTTTTCATAAAAAATAGTCTAAAAATATGGTAAAAATGAAGATAAGTAAATGCATGAGCTTATCTAAAAAACAATTGCTTAATTAATTAGCAAATTTTTTTCTTTCCCTTTTGTTAATATGATACGCTATAGTGAAAGTTATTTCTTGTTTTTTTTTTTTTTTTTTTTTTTTTTTCAGTTTATTCTTAAGTGTCATGAAAACCCTAATGTGAAATAAAAGCTAACGTAAAATATCGCAGTTCTTAACTTTGAAAACATTTACCATCAGGGCATTCTGATGACGTTTTTACTGTTCGAATGGCCCAGCGGCAAAGTCGTGTAACACTGGTTATTAGGCCTGGCGAACGAGCTGCCTGCATGAGAGTTTCGTGATTTCTTATCACTAAATGGCTTTTGTATAAGATGGATGTGACACAGTTCCTGATAACGTACTCCACAAAGGTGTAGTATAATAAAGGGGTAGTATATAAAAAAAACAAGAAGGAAACTTTAGCAAGAATTTAATGCAACTTATAGAAATTAATAGGTTTTTACATTTACATAGTTAATTAACAAAGGGTCATTAATAAATTGTTTTTATAAAGCTTGTTAGTAACTTTTCATAAAAATATAGTCTAAAAATATTGTAAAAATGAAGATAAGTAAATGCATGAGCTTATCTGTAAAAAATTGCTTAATTAATTAGCAAATTATTTTTTCTTTCCCTTTTGTTAATATGATACTCTTATAGTGAAAGTTTTTCTTGTTTTTTTTTTTTTTTTTTTTTTCAGTTTATTCTTAAGTGTCATTGAAAACCTAATGGAAATAAAAGCTAACGTAAAATATCGCAGTTCTTAACTTTGAAAAACCATTTACCATCGGGCATTCTGATGACGTTTTTACTGTTCGAATGGCCCAGCGGCAAAGTCGTGTAACACTGGTTATTAGCCCTGGCGAACGAGCTGCCTGGCATGAGAGTTTCGTGATTTTCTTATCACTAAATGGCTTTGTATAAGATGGATGTGACACAGTTCCTGATAACGTACTCCACAAAGGGGTAGTATAATAAAGGGGTAGTTAGTATAAAAAACAAGAAGGAAAACTTTAGCATAGAATTTAATGCAACTTATAGAAAATTAATAGGTTTTTTACATTTACATAGTTAATTAACAAAGGTCATTAATAAATTGTTTTTTATAAAGCTTGTTAGTAACTTTTCATAAAAAAATATAGTCTAAAAAATATTGTAAAAAATGAAAGATAAGTAAATGCATGAGCTTATCTAAAAAACAATTTGCTTAATTAATTAGCAAATTATTTTCTTTCTCTTTTTGTTAATATGATACTCTTATAGTGAAAGTTATTTCTTGTTTTTTTTTTTTTTTTTTTTTTTTTTTCAGTTATTCTTAAGTGTCATGAAAACCTAATGTGAAATAAAAGCTAACGTAAAATATCGCAGTTCTTAACTTTGAAAAAACCATTTACCATCATGGCATTCTGATGACGTTTTTTACTGTTCGAATGGCCCAGCGGCAAAGTCGTGTAACACGGTTATTAGGCCCTGGTGAACGAGCTGCCTGCATGAGAGTTTCGTGATTTCTTATCACTAAATGGCTTTGTATAAGATGGATGTGACACATTCCTGATAACGTACTCCACAAAGGGGTAGTATAAAAAGGGGGAGTATATAAAAAACAAGAAGGAAACTTTAGCATAGAATTTAATGCAACTTATAGAAATTAAATAGGTTTTTTTACATTTACATAGTTAATTAACAAAGGTCATTAATAAATTGTTTTTATAAAGCTTTGTTAGTAACTTTTCATAAAAAATATAGTCTAAAAATATTGTAAAAAATGAAGATAAGTAAATGCATGAGCTTATCTATAAAACAATTGCTTAATTAATTAGCAAATTATTTTTCTTTCCCTTTTGTTAATATGATACTCTTATAGTGAAAGTTATTTCTTGTTTTTTTTTTTTTTTTTTTTTTTTTCAGTTTATTCTTAAGTGTCATTGAAAACCTAATGTGAAATAAAAGCTAACGTAAAATATCGCAGTTCTTAACTTTGAAAACCATTTACCATCAGGGCATTCTGATGACGTTTTTACTGTTCGAATGGCCCAGCGGCAAAGTCGTGTAACACTGGTTATTAGGCCTGGCGAACGAGCTGCCTGCATGAGAGTTTCGTGATTTTCTTATCACTAAATGGCTTTGTATAAGATGGATGTGACACAGTTCCTGATAACGTACTCCACAAAGGGGTAGTATAATCCAATAAACCATATCTACTGCCGAAATATTATGTAGCTGACTTTAGTCACAACTAAGAGATCGACATCCAAGTAATTAATTGCACGTTGTACGTGAAAATTTTAATAATAACTTAAAAATAAATTAAAACAAAAAAGATATATTTGTCATTAAAAGAATATGAGATTAAGAAACGTGAGAGAAAAGAATTTGTTCATTAACTAAACAATTCTTATAGAGGTAAACTTATGCAGTTAACTATCTTCCCTTTTTTAATCATTTTTAGACTATAATTTTCATGAAAAATTACTAGTAAAACTTTATGGCCTTTGTTAGTTAGCTATGTAAGTTTAAAGTTCTGTTAAGTGTTATAAATTGCATTAATTTTCTATGCTTAAGTTTCCTTCTTATTTTTTCAGCAAAACTTTATTAGTTAATAAAAAAAACAGGAAAGTAAAAATTATCTTTCCTTCCATCTCGTGCTCACTAATCATTGTGCAAACATCCATTTACAATTATTAAAGCCTGAAACACGCATGTCTGCTATGTTATCGTCATGCGACGATTTGCAGGAAATTTGTTTTTAAACTTTTATAAACGATGTTTATAAATTGCGAAGTTTTCGAACCACTTTATTTTAGAGGACGATATTTTGTACTACAATGTTTTAGAACTGCGATGTTTTCTCTTTGCTTTCTTTTCTCCTATGATGTTTTTTACTGCGAGGTTTTCGCCTTCTGTTGTTTTCCGATATTTTCGGCGGACACACTTCCAGTTGCACCACGAAGGCAGTCGGAAGGGGGGAAGAAAATAACTTATAGAGTAAGATGGGAAAATTTTTGAAGTCATCGTACGGACCATACTACAATTACGTTTTAATACTCATTTTTCACCAAATGGCGGAGTAGTTTCACTGGTAAAGTTTCTTTATTGCCGCACTAACGATTTACAACCGCCGCAGTGCTTAAAATTTCTTCTTTTCCAGTCATAATCAAATTAAAAAAAATATTGTTACTTTCATTTGAGTAACGTGCAATAGATCACAAAATATGCATTAACAGATATGTAATAATAATACATGGAATTGAACTGTGACAAACATAAAATCACTTTTTTTTTCCCTTCTAACAGGAAGAAGAAAGAAGATTGCCTTTCCCTTACGATACTGACTGCCATAATTACACGGAAGCTTGGCTGAAAAACAACAGAACCGGACCGCGTTCTAAAGAAGTAAAGTATTATTATCGTTATTATCATTTCACACTTCTTCAACCAGATAAATTTGCTTCTGCAGAGTCATTACGTACTATTTCAATAAGCGCAGATTAATGTCATAAACTACAATGATTACAGTAAACGCTTGTCGAGAGTGGATTTCTGGAACGGGATTTCGTAAAATACGCGTTTTCTTGATTGTTGTCATTTAATTTGCTCATTTTCATTCATACGCAGATCTGCGTTCTTTTATCAGCGTTTAATACTTGCTGGCATCAGAAGTTATCAACAATTTTAAAGGATTTCAATCGATTAAAAATAAAAGCTAAACATTGTACAAATTGCAAATGAATTTATGGCGAAAGAATGTTCAGACATGGAAAGACGAAAACGTCAAAGAATTCATCGAGAAATGATAAATTAAGACAGATTTGAAGATATTCTGTAGCCGGTAGTGAAAGGCGTGAAAACAAAGAAGATAAAGCACCTTATAAGAAATTAAACGAATTATTTGATTCTATTGTGGGATTAAGCTAAATCGAGAAGGAAGTGTTTTCGTTTGGTTACGTCAAAGAGGAGGTCTGATTACGTCAAAGCCTCGAAGTCTATCTGCCTAAGGGAAGGGATATCTTCCCGGAGTACTTCCTACGGGAAACTTGCTCGTATACACGATATACATTGGGTAAACCACGAAAACGGCCACGAAAAAGATCTCAGAAGCAAAATTTCAAATCTTTGTGTTTTTTCTTCAATCCGATCTCTCGTATTCTAAGTTAGAAAGAATTAAACAGTTTAACTCGACACTTAAGAAACATTACATTTTTGGCATCCAATGAAAGCATTCAGTCCTAAATAAATTTAAAAAATGATAGAAAAAAAACATCATTGTAGCAATTTCAGTAGTACCTGGATCTTAAATATTAGCTTCTTTTATCCCTGAGTGTCACACTGCAAGTGTGAGTTTATGAATTCTTAAAATAAGCAATTTTTTCCTAAATTTTTCGATTGAGTTCCTTGTTGTTTACCGTAAACTCTCAAAATAATCTCTCTTTCTTTCTACACTTGCTTTGATTTAAAAAGTTTCTGGAAAATTATAAAAAATTTAAACTCTTACTCAAATTCTTTGTGTCATATCATAATAAGAAACTTGTAGAGACATTAGGTATATTTTGAAAGCAGGAGAGATAAATACCTTATATACTTCCCCTTCTTAAAGGACGACTGGAGATTAGGGAAATTAATCGCCTAGTCCTGGTGGTGGAGAATCATCATCCACCACCTTTGTTTTTTTAGTTCGGGCGCCACTTTAGAGACATCATGTACTTTCCGAAAGAAGGAGAGATGAATCATGAGCAGTACCTTCCCCGGGACACGAACCACGGACATTTCGAATACGCGCCAAGCGTGCTGACCACTACGCCACGAAAGAATAAGAACACGTGAGGTGTACACTGCGCAAAAACATGGGACAGTTCTATATATCCCATTCTATTGGGCCCATTCGCAAAATTCAAATTGCGGTTTCCATGTCTCGAAAGCGCAACTTAGGATATATACACATTGCCATAAAAATTTGCGCACCAAGAAATAATTTGGGATGGTAACGAAACTTGGCATGAAGGTACATGTCTGGTAGATGTGCAAATAATTAGAAATGGAGCTTGATTGTGCATTACGTAATGCCACTAGAGAGCGTTGAACTTCGTTCTTCTTGTAGTATAAAACAGGTAAGCAGAGCTTGTTTGACTGTACTTAATCTTTTGCTAAGGAAACGCTGAGGTAGACATGCCGTTACGCCGGCATCGAAGCCAATATCAGCAGCTGTCAAAGTGCGAGAGGGGAAGAATCATCGGGGTGATGGAAGCTCGGTGGTCAGCTCGGCGAGTAGCTCCTCAGGTAGGTCGTGTTGGAACCAGTGGACAGAAGAGACGTCATTTACACGACGACCAGGCTCAGGACGCCCTCGACAGCCCAGTCGTCAAGAAGACCATCACATCATACGACACGCACGCGTAGAGCCACCTGCTTCATTGGCCGCTATCCCTACACAGGCTGCAGCTTTATTACCGGCACCTGTGTCTTCCCGAACCATCGCAAGACGCCTGTTTGAAGGACATCAGGGCATCTGATATCGCGGCGCCCATTAAGTGTGTTGCCAATGAAACCCACCTACCGACGCCTCCGTTTGGAATGGTGTCGCGCACGACAGGATTGACGAAATGGAACCAGGTCGTCTTCAGCGACGAATCTAGATTCAATTTCACCATTGATGACAATCGTGTTCGTGTATGGAGACTCCTCGGTAAACGCCTCAATCCTGCCTTCGCTTTACAGCGAGACACGGTTCCCATAGTTAGTGTGATGGTATGAGGTGCCATTGCGTACGGTACACGGTCTCTCCTAATATTGATCCATGGCACAATGACAGGCCAGCGGTACGCCCCTGACATCCCTCAGCCACATGTGTTGCCACTCATGGCAGGGCCCCAGGAGCCTATTTTCAACAATACAATGCTCGGCCACATACAGCATGAATAACACCCTTACATGGCCTGCTCGATTCCCAGATTTGTCACCAATCGAGCAAATCTGGGATCATTTGAGACGGCAATTTGGATATCCTGTAACTTGCAGAGCTCTTTTATTACAGCCAATGCAAAATTTCTTCATTGATCGGAATGTAACTGAAGAGACATTATACGAACAAGGAAGATTTCATTAAATAAATGATGGGTTTAATGTCGCTGTCTGCCAATTGGTCTTTCCTGATTCTTCGTCACTTGATGGGTCTCGATCAGCTGATACTGAAGTGGTAACTTGTCGTGCGATTGGATTAATCAGCTCGTGTTTCACTTCGACTCTGATACCAGCAGCTTTCTGCGCAGGGTCTTCCAAACAATGTGCCGGAGTTTATAGGTGACAATTCTTTTCGATGACAGATAGTTGCGTCCTCGGGGGCGGAATGGAGTTCGTTATTTTTAAAATCGAAGGAAAAATTATATTTCCTTAGAACGTCAAATCAGTTGATGCAAGGATCTTTAATATCTACCGCATATGCCGTGTGAGGGTAGGCGGCACTTGCAGATGTGATGTATACGTTTAATTTCACGTCAATTTCGATTTCATCACCAGAGGCAGTCTGAAGAGTAACACAAGATGGCGTCCAAATGAGTTCATCTTTAAATTGTTGGACTAAATCTTTCTCAATTACAGGAACATTGGCTCCATTGTCGATGGTCATATTGCAAATAACTCCACTGAATATGCCCATTGATGTATAGCCTATTACTGCTGCCATTGACTGCAGAAATCTGAAAGGCCTTAAAATGCTGCTTTTCTTTATTTTTTAAACTGTGCTCCCACCAATTGGCCATAAATTTGTTTCCTGTGTCTTTGCAAGAGTGTGGTCTTGTTTTCAGCACTCTGGTGTGTTCTGCAGTTCTTTTGTACTTGGCCTTCAGCACTGCAGTTCCAGCATTTTAGGGCTGATGGCACTTCTATTGATTGACTTGTTTTCTTAAATCGTCTTTATTTTCCGAGCTCTGATGTGTTCAAGTTTTCTGATACGCGGCCTTCAGCAGCACAGTTTCAACACCTTATAAGCGTTTTCTTTTCACTCCATTTCGTATTCAGATATTGATTTGTCTGGATAAATCCTGTAAACGAGCCGTCAGTTGATCCACCGGATCCTGGACTTCAGCAGCTCTGATTGGGCGGCGGTCTCTACGAGTTTTTTTGCTGGGCTGCCATTACTTTCATGGGGTACACCAGAGTGCTTTTATATTCATGACTTGCACAATTCGTATATCTTTCTGTATTTTGGTATCCAGGATGTCGTTGATGAAGTACTGCGAGGACAGGATTTCTCTTGTTTCTGCCAACACTCGAAAAAGACGAGATGAGCCAGTCTTTCAACATCCGTGGCAAGTTCCTGGAGTGTTTCCGTCGACTTGTGTTGACGGTACTTTAATTAAAGCCAAATATAATCTTTAAAGCACTTTTCAAGCGCAGCTCTAACTCGCCGGAGTGTAGCCCCTAGTTTTCCGGAAGAGTTTGAAAGATATCCGGTTCTTCTGCTCTGGGAGAATCGGTTAGATGACCAATCTGAGCTTGGGATGACCAGCCTTTCGCCTCCGCCACTATATAAATTTGTGTCTCATACACTTGCCAGGAAGTCTTCCCATCATATGCGTAAAGAGGGATTTTCTTCATTCAGAGAGGGACGATCAAGCATGAGCAAAATTTTAAAACTATGACAGTTGCTCCCCGCCGTTGCTATGACTTCCTTTAAGGTATCAATCTCTTTGGCGATCTCAAAAACCCTGTCATCAACTTGTTGTTCGGTGACAGAAAGCCTTTCTTCTATTTATTCGTCCAGGGCAGAAACTTTTTTCTTAATTTCTCCAACTTTGTATTCAACCATGTCTGTTCTGCCTTCCAGAGCTTCGAATTTGTTTTCAATCAATTCAATTCAATGCAGACAATCTCTTTTTTCATTTTCACTTGATCTGCTTCAATCTTCATTTGAGCAGCCTTATCTAGTCTTTCGGTTCTTGAATAGCTTTCACCTCTACCTTATCGCATTCCTGGCCAGCTTCCACCTTTACTTGACGAGGTTCCATCTTTTCTTTAACGGATGCTTGATCGGCTTGCATCTCTTCTTGAACAGCGATCACCACCTCTTTAACAGAACTGATTGCCACTTCCATCTTTCTTGATTAGCAAGCACCTCTTCTTTAACGGAGTTCATTGTCGCTTCCATCTTTTCTCGGAATTCTGCAAAGGCAGTCACGAGCAGTCTTAGTCATCGCTTTGGACACCAGCATTCAGTGCCTAAGCCAGACACCAAAAATATGTTGCCTGCGTACGTATTCGTAATAGATTGAGCACACAGGTCTAATAATGAGTTAAAAATTATTTTATCAACAGAAACACTTGTGGAATTTTCCGGAGAAATACTCGTACAAGTGCTTACGGTATCATAAAATACAATCGGTAATTACGCTCAAACTACC